TTATCCTCATTTTATAGATGGGAAAAGAATCTCAGAAGGTCGATTAGCATCATGAATAAGGAGGGAAGGAGGAGGGCAATGCTTAACCCAACCTAAAAGGCTGCATTTTAATGATGGCATCTCAGGCATTCCTAAAGGGAAGCTATGGATGGCAAGCTAGCCTTCTGTGGGCAGAGGAAAGGGAGGGAAAGAGTCCAAAAGCTTAGATTCAAAAGACAGCTGGGCCAGTTACTGACCGACGGACATTGGGCAAATTGCTTCACCACTTTGAGCCTCAGTTTCTTCCTCCGTAAAATGGGGATAATAGCGCCTCCCCCTGCAGAGCTGTAATGGAGGATCTAGTGGCACCAGGACTTTGGAGAAGCCACCATCCACATGACCTCCAGGTCCCCCAGGGAGTGGAAGGAGCAGAACTGGGTAAAGGAACTAGAGAGAGGCAGCAGGGCCACCCTCTGAGGCTGAGGACACCTGGGAGCTTGTCCAGAGGGTCCCACCTTGTCCTAGTCTGCTCCCCGCCATACCAGGCACCACGGCATAGTGCTTTTTAGCACAGAGGCTGAATGCAGACAGAGCTCAGCAACTAACACACCATATTACTTTGGGCAAATCATTTCGCCCCTCTGAACTTCAGCCTTCCCATCTGTAAAATGGGTACCAAGAGGCTTAAGTAAACTAATGCGTGTGAAAGATGTAGCCAAGTGCCTGGCCTTTGGTAAGTCCCAGAAAATGATAGCTAGCATTCTCATTGTTGTTGTTGTTACTATAGGTGTCCCACAGGGACTTAAAGCCCCCGGGAGCCTCCTGGCCCCTGCCTCGGCCCTACTAACAGAGGCTCCACTCCCTCCACCCTGCCCTCACGTCCAATCACCTGGACAGAGCACACACACTGGCTGAAAGGGACACCTCTCTTTGCCTGGAATTAGCCTTGTCTTAGATCTTAGGGGCTGATCATTAACCAGTTGCTGCTCTCTGATCGTACCGCCTGCAAAAATAGGTGCCTGCCCCACCTCCCAGGGCCCCCTGACTCCCTGCAGCCTTGGAAGGAAAGACTAGATTTGGCCTCCCAACTGACACTGTGGGTGACCTCAGGCAGGAAAGGGCCTCCCCCTTCCTGGTCCTCAGTGCTTTCCGTTTTTGAAAACTTTTTTTTGGCTACTAGACTACCCTTTGAAAAAAAATCTTGTGTGAGAGGCAGAATAGGGTAGGTTAAGAGAATAGACTCTGAAGTCAGCCAGCCTGGATTCAAAATCCCGGAGCATGATGGACATAATCAACGTCACCGAATTATACATGTAAAAATTGTTGGATTGGCAAATGTTTTGTTACGTATCTTTTACCACTGAAAAAAAAAAAAAAAAAAAAAATCCCAGAGCCCCTGTTTTGAAACTGTGTGACCCTCTTGTCCTCAGTTTCCATTCCTTTATGAGGCCAACGGCAGCTCCACCGCCTTCAGACGGCAGGCCCCCTTAAGAGTCTTTGCATAAAGTAAGTGCTCAACTAGCCTTATCCGTTATTATCTCTCAGAAGGTGGTGTAGAAAAGTGGGGCCATTTGGGGTTGAAATGGAGGGGTGGGGTAGAGTCCCAGCTGCTTGCTGCCACCTTGGGGTGACTGTGAGGCAGTTTTCTTGGAACCCCATGCTGGGGAAACAGTTTGAAAACCAGTGAGGCTGAGCTGTAGAGCAAGGTTCTGCAAACTACAGCTGAAGGTCCAGTCCAGCCCCCCACTTGTTTTTCTATGGCCTGCCAGCTAACAATGGTTTTTACACTGTTAAATGGTTGAAAAAGTTCAATGGAATCATAAAATTTCATTATGTGAAAATTAGGGAGCCCTGGAGGTGCAGTGGTTAAGTGCTTGGCTGCTAACTGAAAAGTCAGTGGTTCAAACTGACCAGCCACTCCACGGCAGAAAGATGTGGCAGTCTGCTCCCGTAAAGATTACAGCCTTGGAAACCCTATGGAGCAGTTTTACCTTGTCCTATAGGGTCACTGTGAGTTGGAATCGACTCAATGGCAAGGGGTTTTGATGTGAAAATGAAATGTTCATTTCAGTATTCATAAATAAAGTTTTATTGGAACATAGCTATGCCCACTTATTTGTGTGTTGTCTAGGGCTGCTTTCCCTCTGCAAGAGCAGAGTAACAAGCTTGTCATGGTTGAGTCAATTCCAACTCACAGACACCCTATAGGACAGAGTAGAGCTGCTCCATAGGGTTTTCTAGGCTGTAATCTTTATGGATGCAGACTGCCACATTTTTCTCCCAGGGAGGCACTGGGTGGGTTTCAACTGCTGAGCTTTCGGTTAGCAGCCCAGTGCTTAACCACTGCGCCACCAGAGCAGAGTACGGTCCTTGCGAGAGACCACCTGGCCCGCAAAGCCTGAAATATTCACTATCTGGTCAGCAAAAGTTTGCCAGCCCCTGCTAGAGAGCGTATGGAAGACTTTGCCCTTGTATAGCTCCTGGCTCTGCTACCTTACAACAATGTGATTCTGGACATATGTCTTCCCCTCTCTGAACTGCATCTGTACAGTCCTTATAATCATTTTTAGCTTTCAAGGTGGCTGTGGAAATAAAATGACCAGGGCCAGTAAATGCAGGATGGAGAAATATTCATACTGCTGGCAGGCAGTGAGATGAACTCAGCTGGGCCATGGATCAACATTTACGTTTTTAACAGATCTATATTTATTTTAATGCATATTTGAAATTGCAGGGAGTTGGGCGAATGGAACTCCTCAGTTCGTGGCTATTAGCACTATTAGTAACACAAGGTCCCTCCTTTGTTTTACTGATTTATTTAGTCTCATTTCTCCCCATTTCCCACACCCATCTTTCCCAGAGCGGCCATTCTGATGTGTTTAATGGGTAGTATTCCATCTGCTAGTGGTTTTGCAAAATGTTCTGTCATTTGTGTGTGAGTTTTTTTAATTTACATAATGGTCTTGTGTTCTATATCTCATTCTGGGTTTTTTTTTTGCCAATGACAGCTATGTTTTATGTGATCTATCTATAGAACTATATGTTCCTCTAATCCTTTCCTCCTAAAAGCAGTCGAGCCCTCAGTGATGGGTACCTATCACATTTTGTATACCTCTTTACTCCACCACAGATAACGTGCAGTGAATATCATCCCAGTCATCCCTTTATAAACCTGACTAAGACTGCTTTTGGCATTTGCATCCAGGAGCAAAACTGCTGGGCTACAGAGTGTATGCACATTTCATTTGATTAAATACGTCCAGAATGCTCCTAAGAAGGCTGACCCAGCCCATACTCCCTCTAGCAGTGTACATGAGTCCTCATAGCCCCATTCCCACCAAAATGGGGTATTATCTAGCTTTTTTACTTTTGCCAAGCTTATTGATGTAAGTATCATTGCTGTGTCGATTTGCATTTCTCTGGTGTTAGTGATTTTGAGCATCTCTTCAAACACTTTAAAACAAGGTTTAATTACAGTGCCTACTTCATAGGGCTGTTTTGAGAGTTAAAGGAGACAATATATTTAAAGTGTTTAATTCATCTCTTAGTACACAGTAAGCGCTCAATAAATGTGAATTTAAAAAAGCAAGATATTATGTTTGACTTATCTGATTCTTAGTTATTATTATCATTAAAACGCTTGGCTAATAGTCTCCATGAACCACTGCTTCCAATAACACGAGACCAGAAGAACTGGATGGTGCCCAGCTACCATGACCGAACGTTTCGCTCGGGAACATGATAGATGGATCCTGATAGAAAGGAAAATAATGTAGACCAGAACTTCAAATTCCTAAAGAATCCGGACTTACTGGACTCATTGAGGCTAGAGGAATCTCCAAACCTATTGTCCTGGGATAGTCTTCAAACACTTGATACAAAACTATCCCTAAAGTCATCTTTAAACAAACAAAAAACAGTAAAGAATATCATCTTTAAGTATTGTGCTTTAAAAAATATTATCTAGATGAGAGCAAAGGTATAACAATAGCTCTAAAGCATAGATGAGAAGTTCAGGGGGCAGTGAGTCTAAATAATGCGGGTGAAACAACTAGAAAAAATAAGGAGACTATTGACAACAATGTGAAGAACTTAACCAATGTCACTGTCATGGATTGAATTACGCCCCCCTAAAATATGTGTCAACTTGACTAGGCCATGATTCCCAGTATTGTGTGATTGTCCACCATTTTGTCATATGATGTTATTTTCGTATGTGTTGTGCATCCTACATCTATGATATTAATGAGGCAGGATTAGAGGCAGCTATGTTAATGAGGCAGGACTCAATCTACAAGGTTAAACCAAAAATCAAACTCGTTGCCGTCAAGTCAATTCTGACTCATAGCGACGCTATAGGGCAGAGTAGAACTGCCCCATAGTGTTTCCAAGGAGCAGCTGGTGGATTCGAACTGCCGACCTTTTGGTTAACAGCTGTCGTTCTTAACAACTAGGACACCAGGGTTTCCAATCTATAAGATTAGATGTGTCTTAAGCCATTCTCTTTTGAGATACCAAAGAGAAGTGAGCAGAGAGACTTGGGGACCTCATACCACCAAGAAACAAGAGCCAGGAGAATAGCGTGTCCTTTGGACCCAGGGTCCCTGTGCTGAGAAGCTCCTTGATCGGGGAAGATTGATGACAGGGATCTTCCCCCAGAGCCAACAGAGAGAGAAAGCCTTCCCCTGGAGTTAGCACACTGAATTCGGGCTTCTAGCCTACTAGACTATGAGAGAATAAATTTCTCTTTGTTAAAGCCATCCACTTGTGGTGTTTCTGTCATAGCAACACTAGATAACTAAGACAGTCGCCAACAGTATGTGCAGAAATTGTTGAATGGAAGCATGCTTTGATGTGTATATTTTGACCAAAAATAAAATTAAAAAGTAAAAACACTCAGCACGTAGCAGAAGTGCTCAGTACATGTGCACTTTCTTCGCCTTCCCTGATAGCCTCTGGACATCCCCACTCCCGCTCCTCCAGATTGGTGGAGTTGGCCCTGTCCCTTTCCACAGCCTCACCTGCGTTCTCTTCAATCTCTCTATTGAGGTCTTTCCGAGCCTCCTTCTGGCCAAAAAGACTCTTGAGGATGGCGTTAGCGATGGGCAGCATCATGGCGGTGGAGGCGGTGTTGCTCAGCCACATGGACAGGAAGGAAGTGGTCACCATCATCCCTAGGATGAGCCTGGGCAACAGAGCGAGTTAGAGACAGATCCAGAACCTCAGGATCCATTTCGTCCCCCCTAAGGCATCCAGCCTGCTTGTTTTATAATGTTTTGTTTTGTTTTTAATAATGTTTTGTTGTTCTATAATGTTTGTTTCGAGGCCCAGTGAGGGAAAGTCAATGGCAGAGCCAAATCCACTTACCAGGCTTATTTTACAGGCAAGGGAACTGTGGCTCAGTGCTTTTGAATGAACTGATCACAGACACCCATGGTAATACAGTTCCAACAACACCCTAAGCCTGACGCTTCCCCTTCCTTGCCCCCCAGCCCTTAATGGAGTCCATTTCAGAAAAAAGCTACCTTAGTCTGGTACCAAGACTCTTCACCATGTCACCCCAAATAGCCTTCCCAGCCTCCTTTCCCACTTCCCCCTTCCACTGCCACCTAGGCACCCCTGCAGATAATGCTGAGCTTCTCACCAGCGCCCAAACGTGCCCTGAACTCCCCTGTCTCCCTGCTTGATCTGTTCCCTCCAATGGGAATCTAAGTTTCATAATTTCTTCTTTACATGGAACTCTTTCATTCACCTGGAATTTATTTAGATCTATAGTGTGAAGTAAGATCTAAATAGATTTTTTTTCAAAGAATAAACTAATTATCCCAACACCCACTGCATATCTACACACTCTTCCTTTCCCCACTGATTTGGATTTCTTCAGGAGTCCTGGTGGTGCAGTGGTTAAGCGCTCGGCAGTTTGAACCCACCAGCTGCTCCTCGGGAGAAAGATGTGACAGTCTGCTTCTATAAAAATTATAGCCTTGGAAACTCTATGGGGCAGTTCTTCTAGATGATTTACCCTTTTGTTGTTGTTTGTTTGTTTTTTTTTTATCTATTTCTGTACTAGTTCCATACTGTTTTAATTGTTGTAACTTTATAATATGTTTGAAGTAGCCCCACCCATTCTTCAAGGTTCAGCTCAAATGTTACGTCCTCCATGAAGAAGTCTTCACCTATCTCTCATGTGAATTCCCACAGCACATTGTACCCCTTGGATATCAAAGTCTGCTTTGCAATGGAATTAGTTCTATGGAAGGAGTGTCTCCCACAGGACCGAATGTGCCTCCCAAGGATCCATCTCTACAGAGCCAAGCAGAGTGCTTGGCACAGAGTCGATGCTATAAACCTAGGAGATGTCCAGAACCTTCTTCTCCCTCACAGCATCCCAGCCCCCACTCCAATCCATTGATTTCATCAAATTTATCCATTCTGGCCACCTCCACTGCCACTACCCTAGTCCAAGTTTCCACAGTCACTTGTTTGGACACCTAGATGAGCCTACCAATTAGCACAGCCACATCCAGCGTCTCACCCCTTCATATCTTCTCCACATGGCAGCCAAGAGGAGTCTTTCAAAAATGCCCATCTGGTCATGTCACTCCCCAGCTTAATGCCCTTTAAAACAGAAACTCTGAACCAGGGTCCATGGATATAACTCAGAACCGGAATGGGTAAAAAAATTACATCTTTATTTTACCAGCACCTAATTGGAATTTGGAAACCCTGGTGGCGTAGTGGTTAAGTGCTATGGCTGCTAACCAAAAGGTTTGCAGTTCAAATCCACCAGGCGCTCCTTGAAAACTCTTTGGGGGTAGTTCTACTCTGTCCTATAGGGTTGCTAGGAGTCGGAATCAACTCGACAGCAATGGGTTTGGTTTGGTTTAATTGGAATTTAGTATTTCTCAATGATAAACATAGGCAACAAAGTTCAGTAGTATTAGCAGTGTCTGAGAGTTCATCACCAATAGAAATCACAGATATTTTCATATCCCATTATAGTAGTTGCCGACATCTTAAAATGTCACTCACACTTATCACTGCCTCAAAATGACAGTTACTAGGCTCTTTGCTAGATCACACTGTTACTATGTTAATACAGGAATGGCACTATGTTACAAATTTGTAGGGGGTTTTAAAAATATTTTGATATCCTGATCGAAAGGGGGAAAATGCAGAACGGAATTTCAAATTCTCATGAAATCCAGACTTTCTGAAGCCATTGAGGTTGGCTAAACCCCTGAAACTATTGCCCTGAGATAATCTTTAAACCTTAAACCAAAAATATCCCCTGAAGTTTTCTTTAAATCAAACAATGGTTTAGCTTAACTAGTAAAAAATGTCTGCCTTGAGCATTATACACTTTTAAGAACTTTCTATATGGGACCAAACTGACAACAGCAACTGGAAAGATTCGATAGGAAACTTAGGGGACCGTAAGTTTATGTTAATGAGGGAGGAACAATTCGGAAAAGGAGGGTGAGAAGGTTGCACAAGTTGAAGACGGTAATCAATGTCATTGCATGGTACAGGTAGAAACAGTTAAATTGGGCTATGTTCTGCTGCGTATATTCTCAACAACAACAAAAAATACGATGAATTACTGAAAAAAAAATCTGGATAACCGCATTTTACTGTAATCGTTGTTTTTTAAATCCTATGTGTTGTTCTGCATGCATTTGAAAACATTCTGAGAAGGGAGCCTTAAGATTCACCAGATTGTCAAAGGGGTTTGTGGAAGGACAACAACAAAAGATTAAAACAATCACAACAACAACAACCCCGTTGTAAAGACCACCCAATCCTCTTCAACTTCCAGTCCAAATCTTAGCCAGGGGCCCCAAGTTCTTATAGGATTAGACCCTGCCTCTTCTCCGAGGCCATCCTCCCACCCTCTCCCCACTCCCATCACCTGGGCTGCTAAAGAGCCCCCAAGGCTGATCATGGCCAACGGTTCTAAAGGATTTACGCAGTATTCACTCATTTAATCCTCACAACAACTCTGTGAAGCAGACGCTCTTATATTGCCGTCTTACAGGGAAGGAAACAGGCAGAGACAGGGGAAGTGATTTTCCGAGCAGGCAGGCTGAGATTCAGCCCCAAGCTGTCTGAGCCATACAGTTTTAAAAAATGCAGATTCTGCCCTGGGTGGTACAAACAGTTTGCATTCGATTACTAACCTAAAGGTTGGTGGTTCTAACCAACCCGGTGGTACCATGGAAATCGACTAGATCACGAGGGGTTTACGGCCCCTCAAAAACTACTGAACTGGAATCTTTGGAGGTAGGGACTGGGAATGAGCATTTTACACTGGCTTCCCAGGTGATTATTATGCATCTTTGAGAACAACTACCCAAGGGCCTAGCGCTGTGTCTGGCACATAGTGGATCAATAACTATCTGAGGTATAAAACCTGTTGCATCGAGTTGCTTCCGACTCATAGTGATCCAATAGGACATAGTAGAACTGCCCCATACAGTTTCCAAGGAGCGGCTGGTGGATTCAAACTGCCAACCTTTTGATTAGCGGCCGAGCACTTAAATGGGTAAGTGAATGAATGGTGGAAAATGATGCATTCGTTGGCCTGGATGACTTAACCAAGAAGAATGGATCTGGGCTCTAAGAGGTGAGATCTCTCCACCTCCCCACTGTAGGACTGGACCCATTACCTGGTCTTACCTGGCCGGCTGGATCCCAACAAACATCAGGACCTTGAGGGCGATTCTCCGGTGCAGATTCCACTCCTCAATGGCGCTGGCCATAATCAGACCGCTGAGGAAGAGGAAGTGGGTGTCCAGGAAGTACTGGGAGCAGACCTTGTTGGAAGGCAGGATGCCCATGAAGGGAAAGAAGATGACAGGCAGCAGGGCCGTCACGGCGAGGGGCAGGGCCTCCACGCACCAGTACACCGCCATGAGCAAGATGACAAACAGGCAGCGGCCTTCCTGCAGTGGGGGAGACGCACTCAGAAGGGTCAGTGGAGCTTGGGGTGGCAGAGAGGGAGGAGGTCCTGGGGGAGAGGGCATCAGGGCACGTTCCTCAGGGAGGCAGTACAGTATGTAAGTGTCCAAGGCTTTGCTCTTGAGCAGGTGGCATCACCTTTCTCAGCCTCATTTTGCTAAACCGTAAAATGGAGAAACTATTGCTGCCCACCTCCTAGGATTGTTTGAAGATTAAATGAAATAATCCATTGTCTTAGAAGTAGACCATGGAAGGGGAGTGGGAAAATGAGACAGAGAAGAGAAGGAAGCCAATACAAAATACAGGTAGTCCCCGATTCGTGACAAGGTTCCGTTCCAACGTCTACTCTGTCGCAAGTTGGTCCTGACTTACATCGAATACCTCAATTTTTTTTAGTTTTCATTATTATTGCCTTTTATTATCAATATCTTTATAAATCCGATCTTTATTTGTCTTTTGGGGTTGGAAACATTACAGCTGAGAATGATAACATCAGCAAATTACGTGCTGCAACGTTGTATGTAGTACATATTACTAACAATAATGTGTACAAAAAAAAAGGACAATCCTAAATATAGTTCGTCTTAACTTGAATACGTCATAAGTCAGGGACTACCTGTATATGAATGAGAAGGTTACCACTGTGGGCAACTGGGGAACTGATGGGGAACTCTGGGATACAGTGTAGAACATGTCTCAGAGTTGTTCCACTTGGATGGCAAAGAGGCTGGGGTATTATCTGCCAAATCCTGTCCATCGTTGGTGAGGGCTGCTCCAGGTAGCATTAACTGTCCATTACTTCCAGCCTGCCTCGTATGCAATCTTAGCATGCTCCTGCAGCTAGAGAAAGTCCTCAAGCACAGCATCTCAAGAAGTTACTGGCATGTACGGGGATGGTGAAGGTCAATGGGGATGTGGAGGGAGCACTGGTAGCAACTGCCATATCCATACATGACACTTAGTACAATGCCCAACACATACTCAAGACTCTATAAACAGTAATAATAACTAATATTTATACCGTTCTCAAGTGTCAGCCACTGTTTGTTCCTCACAAAATCCCAGTGAAGTAGGTACTATTATTATCCCCATTCTATGGAATTGGAAAGACAGGTACAAGGATGTCACTAGCAAGGCAGTGGCCAAGCTGACCAAGGCAGTCTGCCTCCAAAGCCAGTATTTTTAACCACTTTACTCTGAGCTGTTATAAGCTGGATATTAGAACTGATGACAGGCAGACAAAGGAATTTAAAAGACTCAAAATAAAACTGACCAGTGGTTTCTTGGGGTTAGGGTGAGAGGTATGTGTGTGGGGGGGTATGGCTAGGGGAATGCAAGGGGGCACCAGAGAACCTTTTGGGGTGATGGAAATGTTCTAGGCCTAGACTGGAGAATGATTAATGGGTGTATACATTTGTCAAAGCTTGTCCAACTATACACCTGCTTACTAAACAAGAGAGCAACAATGATGATGTCTTCACTTCTGATACATCAATGTCCCACAGGCTGCATAATAAATGACATCTTGTTATTCACATGGTCACTGTTTGAATAGAACTAGTTACTGCCCTGACTTCCCCTTCTTATGTTCTCAGAAGGCAATGATCGCTCATGTTCTTGTGAACACAAACTCTTTCTTGGATTTGGTGCTGGCTGGTGCCATTTTATATTTCTTACTCTTACTCGCGGTAGGTTTCGTTACGTTATTCAGTGCCCACAGGACCTGCTCCATTCAATGTTTCATTGAACTGAGCACCATCCTAACCAGCACCATCCTAATAGAACATATTAGCTCAACGGGACAGACATTAAGTCATGCAGCAGATACTATGACTGGTTAATACACATAACAGGGAGTCAAGGGCAGGACCAGGGAGACCAGTGAGATGACTGTGGCAATAATTCGAGCAAAAGATGCCGGCGTCTTGGGTCCAGGTAGGAGTGATGGAGGTAGCAAGAAGTGCTTGGATTCTGGATCTCTTTCCAAGGTAGCGCCCGACAGCTTTGCTGATGGGTCTCTTGTGGCATGTAAGGCAAAGAGAAGAGTCAACGGTGATTCCAAAGTTGTTGGCTCCAAGACAGATAGAATAAAGTGGTCATTTACTGAGATGGGGAAGATCGGGAGACACAACCACACTCTTTCCCATACCTTGAAAAACACATCCTGAGACTCTCTACCAGAGAATTTCCATATGCCCAAGTCCTACCAAGGAGCCCTGGTCGCGCAATAGTTAAGTGCTCAGCTGCTAACTGCACTGGCAGTTCAAACCCACCCAGCGACTCTGTGGAAGAAAAATCTGGCAATCTGCTCCTGTAAAGATCACAACCTAGGAAACCCTATGGGGCAGTTCTACTCCGTCAATGGGGTTGCTCTAAGCTGAAATCAACCTGACAGCTCCTAACAACAACAAAAGTCCCGCTTAGCTTTGCATCAGTGCCCCCGTTCGCTCATGAAATTTACAGATGTACGAAGAGTCTCCTGCAAAGGGAATTTCGGTAGAGCAAATACTACTTTCCTAATAACTTAAGATAGGTTCTTTGGGAGGAAAAAAAAAAAAAAGATCTCTTAGGTAATATAATCAATTATCCTTCAGAATATTTAAAAATTAGTGGTTGGGGCAGGGAAGAATAATTGCAAGCCAAATGAATATGCACCTAAATGGATATTCCAAGAACCCAGGTTACTTGGGAAATACTTCAAAGACGAGACGCGAAAGCCATCATCCATAATCAAACCCCACAACTAAAAATTCCCTGAAGTTTTGATTTCTCAGCATCCTTGCAGTTTTCTAAACCAGGAAGATCCCCCCGTATCAGGCATGAGATGCGCAGATAATCGTGAGCCCACAGTCTATAAATATTTATAACTCCTGACCCTTTATTCCAGCAAAATTTAATATTGAATCACAACATATAAAACAGACAGAGCCTGCATGTAAAAATCAGATTAAACAGAGCTTTTCTGGGAGAAGCAGGGTGGGAGCTGTCCACAGGACCCTCTGTTCTCTCTCGCCCTTCTGTCTACACTAGCAGCCCCTAAGACCTCCCGGAAAATCAGGAACCCAGTAGAGGAGGGTCAGACCATCCCCAGCCCCCTAGTATTTCCCTGGCTTTACAGACATGGGACCAGAGAGGGGAGGGAACTTGCCCACGGTCAGGTAGCAAGCGGGTAGATATCAAAGCTGCTTCTAGAACCCTAAGCTGGGGCCCCTCAAGCAGCACTGGGCCCTTTGTGGAAAAGGCCTTCTTAGCCTCAACAGGTGCTTAGAGCCAAGGGCATCATACCTGGGTTCCACAGAGGCAAACAGAGGGCAGGCCCATCCCAAGTGCTCCCAGTACAGTGAACAAAGATGTAGGAAAGAGGTGGCACAATAAACAGCGCCTTGTTTACAGAAGCTCCTGGGATCCCGATATTCTGCCAGAGGATCTTTGGGGACCACCCAGGGAGCCAGGGTAGCCAACGCTTCGGCCAGGAAAAGTGAATTTGGCCAAGGCCAGCTCTGCCTTCTCAGGACTGGAAACCTGTGAGTCTGCAGAGGGGTCGGAATATCAGCTGAGACAATCCATTTCCGCAGCTCAGAAAGGTGAAGTGACTTGCCTGAGGACACACAGCTCTCAACTGATGAAGCCAGATTTTAAGCAAAAGAAGTCAGCATCTTGGCCCCTGGTGCGGCACAAGTGTGATACGCCCTGCCTACATCCCCTTACCCTTCATAACACTGATCGCCACTGGAACGTAGATTTTATATCTTTCTTAATTTTCTCCTCCACTAGAATACAAGCTCTGGGAGGGCAGGGATTGGGTCCCCAGAGCCAAGAACAGTGCCTGGCACATAGTAGGCACTCAACAAATATCTGTTGGATGCTTGAATGACTAATATATGCTTACACAACTCACAGAAAGGGCTAGAAACTGTTGTAAAAATGGCGTGGGGGTGGCGTCTGACCTCCTTTAACTTCACAAGGGGAAGGAGAATCAAGATCAACAGCTCAAGGCTGATTCCTAAGAGGCGGAGGTCAGACTTGCCTTCTCTCTTAGTCATTTTAACCAATTCTGACACCAACTGTCCCTCTCACAGCACTCTCTACCTCTCTGTTGGGTTTGGTAATTCGTTGCAATGGCCACACAGAACTCACAGACCATACTCACAGTTATGGGGTTTATTAGGGAAGTAACAGGTTACAATTCAGGTTCAGAGACGCTCAGGATACAGTTTTTCCATCAGGACAGCCTCTTCTCAGCTGTGCCTGCAGGCACGCCTCTCCCTGGCCCCTCAGCCTCTGGTCTGCTCGGGCAAGTGTTACAAAGCTTTTAGCTCTGCTGATAAGCCTCTGCCAGTAAGCCTTGGCCCAAAAGTGTTCAGTTGTAGCTCCATGGGTCAGCAAACTTAGCCCCTCCAAGTACCTGGAGGCACCCTACTCTGCCAGCAAGACTGCTGCCTGAAGGCACTCAGATTTCTCACTCTGTGGGCTGGGAAGCCCACTGCACCATCTCCTGCTGATCTCCCGCCAGTCTCCTGGTTCTGCTGCCTCTACTGCTGCCATTTTTCTGCCACTGCATCTCGCCGTCTTGCCACCTTCAGTGTTACAGCTCTCTCTCTGTCTCCCGGATCTAGGAGAGTTTCAGTGCAGGGATCCCAGGTCCAAAGGACACACTCCACTCCTGGCTCTTCTTCCTTAATAGTGGTGAGATCCTCTCTTCGCACCTCTAGGATGGCTCATTTTAAGCCTAGCAAAATGGTAAAACTGACCAATCCCCCCACCCCGTTAGGGTTCCATAAACCTTATTTGCATAGTCCCACACGGGTGCCATGAACTTTATTTGCATTGTTAGCAAGCTATCCAATCCCCTTGGTGGGCCACAATTACCTTATTTATATAGTCCCAGACAATCACTTGGGTGACAATTACAAGACCATGGTGAGAAAGGCCATATACAAGCGATCCATCCATCGTGCTGCAGCTGTTATCCATTCATCCATCC